AATTATCCTGCTCAATTGTTTTATAAATAATATAAATTAAAATTATTTTATAAACAAATTTTTCAAACATAATGGTTCAATTCATAATTGACGTAGTAGCGAGCTAAGCGTTGTTAAAATTATGAGAATGCATGTTTTTTATAGTGTGTCTTATTTACTCATTTTTGCAATAATTTATATTTATTGGCATATTTAGAGTTTTTAAAGCATATTTTACTTTTTTAACGAATATTTTAATATTTTATGCTTTACTTTTTCATTATCATATATTTTATAAATATTTTGAATCTTATTTTATCTAAACAAAAAAGCTATTTGAACTCCTTTGGACAATTTTTGCTAGTACCAATAGGTGAAAAGTTACACTCATTTGTATAAAACCCTGTATGACCAAAATGTCCAACTTTGACCCCCTCTAAGTCCGGCAGTTCTAGACCGATAGTGCTTCAAATTTGTGTCTGGCTTACTATTCAATAGTATAGTAATTTCTTCCAAATGGGGCAGATTTCTTCCAAATCGGAAGACATCGATTTTAAATGTTTGGTCACTTGACACGAAATTGCCCATATACATGTTAGCATTTATAACTTGATTGTGCTTAAATTTAAAGTTTTATTAAATTTTAACATTTTGTGTTGTATTTTGAAAAATATTATATTTATTTGTGTATAAGTGTATTTGTAAATATGTCAGCTCATACATACTTATTCATATAAAAAAATAATATATTAAAATAAAATTCATTATTTTCACTCCCCTATTACATTTTGAAGTCTACACTCTACACTAATTTGAAGAGGTATCAAAGTATCCATTGTTGTTAGGTACACGTCAGAATTAGTAATAAAATTAAAATTTTCTAAAAGTAGTAAAATCATTTTATTATTCTCAGATATTTAATTTAACTAATGATATTTTCAATTTAACAATTGCTATTTATGTAAGTAAAAGAGTATTTAAAATTCGTTATATCTCAGTTTTTTGTATGCGAGAGTTTTGGTCTGTTTTTTATGTCTTGTTATTGTTTGCCTATAAACAATCGCGATAAAAAAAAAACTAACAACAATTTGCACTTTATCACAGATAATTTAAATACGCCAAATATTAAATAAAATTTTAAACTATAAAAATAAACTGAACATTAAATTAAACTAAAAACTTTTTGTCGAAAATAAGAAAAAACAAAAAAATGTCATAAAATAAATATAGAAAACAAAAACAAACAAATGTTGTTGTATGAAACAAACGAGCAGTAAATTTATTTTTCTATAATAAAACAAAAGAAACAAAAAAATTTAAGTGTTGAAATAAATGTGAATTGTAAAACAAATTTTATTTGTTTTTTGTCTGTTTTAGCTCTTTGGTAATATATATTAAATTTTTGTTTTGTCAACAAAAGCAAATATACTAAAATAAAAGCAACAGCAAACAGTGGGGCGAAAGTGTAATTTTTAGCTACAAAGTAATGAGAATATTAATTCTACTATACATTTTATTTTAAGTAACAGCTTCAAGAATTAAGTTTTAATAGTTATGTTATATAACACCAGTTGTTAGTTGGAGTTATTATTTTATTGTAGATATTTTTACGTAGCTGGTTGAAGTTTAGTGCGTATTGTTACTGTAAACTGTGAAATCATTGAGGCACATCGAACAGGAGACGTAACAGCGAGAGCAATAACTAAACTTTAAATTATGCAATATAAAATTGTTATTGTGTTGTCAACAGTGAATGTCATATGCCACCTACATCGCCTCTTTTGTATTAAATTCCGTATATAAATGTTCTACTTTTCCAGCCCTTACAATTATCATACGAAAGAAAAATAACAAAATAGCAACAAAAATGTAACCGAAAATTTTAGTAATAATAACAATGATAACAACAAAAAAAGCAACACCCAACTGAGGGCAATAAAAAGTCAACAGCAAAAATAATTTATGACAGTTGCATAAAAATTCTCACATAAATAAATATTATACAATGTATAAATGCATATTGTATGTACAAACATATATACATATATACATATATATATCTTACATGTATATATTAGGATAGTCCTAAATTGGTGACTCTGTAGTTTTCCCACCGGTTATTCTTCCCCATCTGGTATTTAAAAAGCTGTATAAAGTACAAACCAAATTGATTTTCGTAAAAATTAATAGAAAATTTATATTTTCCAAATTTTTGATTTTTCTAAGATTTTTCAAAGATATCAAATTTGTGTACTTAAAATGTATATTCTTATTTGATTAGTTATAGAGCAAAATTGTGTACTAATCGGATATTGAGAGTAATGAATCTTTATTTAAAGGACAGGTTTAATACGTACTAAAATAGTTAATTCAAAATACCGTTCACCGAAAATCAAAAACTGTTTTAATAGTTTACTTAAGATTACTAAAAAATATGAAATTGAATTAAAATTGGTTTAAAAATAACATAGATATGAGCAAAATTCCGAAATAAAAATATGATTTCTGAAAATATGTAAAAGAAAGATTTTAGAAAAAAATTAAATTATTAAAAAGTTATTAAAATATACTATGGTGAAAGGAAAATCTTTAATATTTTAAATAATCCTTAAAGTACATTTTATACTTATTTTTATTCTCAACAGGATGGTTGAACACACTTCAGGCCTCTTAAATTTGTAGTGAATCATTTTACTTTATTTATACACATATTTAAATACATGCATATATTCTTTTTTCCTCATTTTTATATGTAAATATGTAGTAGAGTATAACACAACAATAAAATTTTTTAATATATTTTTTTGTGGCATGCCTGAGGTTATGCAAATATATAAGTCAGACACTTGTGTCACAGGAAATCACACTTCAGTGTGAATAATTTCAATTTTTTGTTCATACTTTTCAAACATTCCTGTAGTACGCAGAGACAGACATTAAAAAACAACAAAAACTTGTCACTTTTGTTTGCGATCCTTTGGGTGAATGTTAAGTGTCAACAAAAAAGTTTGTATACAACTGAAAACAAAGTTTTTTTTGCCGAAATTATGAATTATTTTCGTTTTGTTTTAATAACGTCTAAGAAATGTCAAGATATTGAAATTATTTTGGTTATTATTTATTCTCTACATCTAAATCCTATTAAAGATAATTATTTTCCTAAAATAATAATTGATTTGTAGGATTCTTTTGTTTATGTTGACATATTTAGTATCCTTTGATATTATACATACATGTGTAATATTCCTTTGTGTGACAATATACATAAATACTTAACGAATTCACGGACATATGACAGAATACAATAACAAAGTATTATTAATAACGCAGGACATAACTCCTAAACAAACACATGTTTGTACAGTAAATATACACATTTACATGATCACATTAACTCTACACAAAATTGAAACACTGCACATTAGGGCAGATATACATATGCAACCGGTAAATTAGTTTTAGAAGTAATTCTTCGATTACCAACGAAATCCTGCTTTAATTATAAATATTATAGAATTATAACATTTAGGGTAATAAACTTGCATAAATTCAATACCATTTGTGTTTACATAAGGAAGCTATAAAAACTCTAAGTTAAAACTCTTAAAATCGATGTCTTACGACTTTGATGAAAATTGCACCAAGGTTAGTAGGCCAGACACAAATTTTCAGCTTTGTCGGTCAAGAACTGTCGGAGTCAGAGGGGGTCAAATTTGGACATTTTGGTCATACAGAGTTTTATTCAAATGAGTGTAACTTTTCACCTATTGGTCCTAGCAAAAATTGTCCAAAGGAGTTCAGATTAAAAAAAATTTAGAAACAATGAAGAAATAGCTATTTGACCGTAAGAGAAATTATCTTTTCATTGATACTAAACATATATCAAAAACTTGTGTTTTATTTATGGTCGGGATTTAAGAACTTTTGGCCCAATGTGCATAGTTAAAACAAATTCTAGTTACAAACCGGTTACAAATAATATACATAAATATATGAAGTTAATATTAAAACAAATCCAAACAAATGACCCATATAGACATAAGCTTATAAAGTAAAGTATACTTTCATGCGTTCCTAGAAGTTAGTTCGTCCTTTTACGTTCACTTTCAGTGTGTAAATGTCTTTATACGTATGTACATATATACATAAATTTGATTTAAAGGTGTTTAGTGTACAGGACAGTTTTAGAACGTAAGCACTAAAGTAGTAGTCATGATGATAATGGAGAAAGTAAACATAAATCTAATTAATTATGGTTGTGGTTGTATACAAATTGTGCATAAAGTTTCACTACCTTTGTTTCATTCTTGTTGGTATGAACATTAATTGGCCAATAATATTAATAAAGACATTCATTTATGCATTAATTCATTTCCTGCCTTTCTTTGTGAACAGTTTAAGGAATTTCCCCAGACACATTTCGTATTTCTAATTGGATTTGTCGTAGGACAATATTTACGTTTAATTGATGTTTAGCCAGGTATGTTGGAAAATATAGTCGTATCTACTATTTAGGGTGTTATGATAATTAACATGACACCCAAAGTATTTATAATACATAATAAGGAATATTTTAATATGTCTGTGTGTTGCAAACAAAATATTGGCTATAAATACGTTTCTATATAAGGGTACTGTTTCCTGAAGTATAAATTTGAAAAATTATAAAGTTAGAGAAATATTTTTCAGGCAATATTTATAGATTTAGAATTTCAGAAAATCTCACTATAAATATGCAAATAAAATGTCACTTTTATGCTAAACTAAAATACATAAAAAATCAATGATTTATTCAAATTCTTGTTGCTCTTCATTCACTCGCAATTTAACATCAACAACGAAGTCGATGACCAGAGACAATTTTAATATCGGCTGATGCTTTCAGTAATATTTATATAATAAGTTATCATTAAAACTGAAAAGTTAAAAGGTGAAAAATAATAAAAGTTTCTTAATATTTTTTGTTACTCAAGCTCCATTAACTTACATTATTTCTGTGTTTGGTTTTTTTCTCTTTGCAGATTTCATATTGGCCTTACGTAATGTCAGTGTGACCATACCGTTGGCTGTTAAACGTGGTGATAATGCGATTTTAATCTGTAATTACGACATTGAAAATGACACACTGTATACGGTTAAATGGTATCGAGGACGTCGTGAATTTTATCGTTACACGCCAAAAGAGAATCCAGCATGGAAAATATTTCCATCAACAAATGGTTTAAACGTGGATGTAAGTATAAAGAATTTAAACAGCAAAAAACAAATACAACAACAACAAAATATAATAACAACAGGCAAGATAACAACACACCATTAAAATAAACAAGAGGGCTTCCAAAATAATGTTTATACAATTTTAAAAATGACCAGGATGTTTGTTGTTGTTGCTTTTTATCCTGCTTTTAGTTGACTTTAAATCTATAGCAGTAAGAAACAAATGACCGGTCATCAGGCAAAAAAAAGTGCGAATTGATTTTTTATGGTTAAAGTGGGTATTAAGTCTAGAGCAGAGAGAGAATATAGCAACAAAAACTGATACCAATGGATAAACATTGACTTAATGTGATAACAATGGTTAATAAAACGAGTAAAGTGAAAATGACAATAACTTATAAAAGGATTTCCTTGAGCAGCATACAATTTGCGTCATATTTAGCATTTTATTTAAAGACTTAAACATTTTCCCTTGTTTAATGTAGGCATTTTAAACAGAAATCAGAAATCCATGCTTCACATTGTGTATATGTATACATAGTGTACTTGAAAAAAGATTCAGGGTAACTACGTTATATACTATACATTTTACTTATTTACTAAAAGACTAAAATAACTCAAATTCGAACGGAATACTGTTCTTAAAATGTTGTATCCATTTTTAAAAACGTGTATTATTTTAGGTATGAACATTTTTTTTGTTGTAAATGTCAAAACTAAAAGGGTTTGAATTAATTATAACTTTTATATGAACAGAAATCACACCATCAAATTATATTAGGATCAGTGCTTATTTGACCCATACTTCACTATATATCCATTTTCAGAAAACCAGGTTTTAATCAATAGATTCCTTAAATATATACAAATATTCGATCAAATGGTCGATCGTGCCCGATTATACTTTCTTACATGCTTTAACTTGCGAGACAAAGATAAACTACTCAAATTATAAATTCGCAAACATTACATTAACAAATTGTTTTCAAAATAAATTTGAAATATTTCAGTCAGGAGGAAAAAATATAAATTTTACTGGCTTTAAAAAATATTCCTTTTAATATACGATTCATTCTATATACATACATTCCTATCTTTGTTAGTTGAACAAAAATAAATATATATGTATGTAACAAGTGAGAGTGTTATATTCGGCTGTGCCGAATCTCATATACATAGATCTCATATTCCCACCATCAAACCGTATACCATAAAAGGATCACTCATCAAATTAAATGAGAGTTTTTCATAAAATTTGTTAGACTGATTTTGGTTCATATAATCATCTTTACATCGAATATCATCTGAAGGGGACCTTGTAGAGGGTAGGGTCAATTATGGACCGATCCACATCAAATTTGGTAGAGAGGTTTTGGCTTGAAAGTGACTTGCTTATGTCAAATTCCATCGATGTACTCATATTTTAAGGCAAGTAATGAGCGTTAAAGTAATTTTCTGAAGTAGACCTTATATGGAAGGTAGAGTCAATTATGGACCGATCCACATAAAATTTCGTAGTTGAATTTCATCATTATACTAACGTTTTTAAAACATAAATGCCTGTTAAGGCTGTTTTTCGGTGGTCCACTTGTATACGCGGATCGATATTGCCCATTTTCAATACCAAACAACCGATCCATATAAAATTTCCATCTATGTACTCGTATTTTTAAGCCAGTAATGAGCGTTAAAGTAATTTTTTGAAGGGGACCTTATATGGTGTAGGGTCAATTATGGACCGATACACATAAAATTTGGTAGAGAGGTTTTGGCTTGAAAGTGACTTGCTTATGTCAAATTCCATCGATGTACTCATATTTTAAGGCAAGTAATGAGCGTTAAAGTAATTTTCTGAAGTAGACCTTATATGGAAGGTAGAGTCAATTATGGACCGATCCACATAAAATATCGTAGAAATGTTTGGTAGGGAGATTTTGTCTCATAAGAAACTTATTTATGTTGAATTTCATCACTATACTAACACTTTTAAAACTAAATGCCTGTTCAGGCTGTTTTTTCGGTGGTGCACTTGTAATGTGGATCGATATTGCCCATTTTCAATACCAAACCTTATTTATGGGAATATTTGTGGAAAATTTCAACCCTCTAGCGCATTCCGTTCGCACTCTATCGTGTCAACAGACAGATAGACGGACATGGCTAGATCGTCTTAGAATTTAATAAGAACCCAGAATATTTATACTTTTGTGGGTCTATGGTCAATATTTCGATGTGTTACAAACGGAATGACAAAATCAATATATTTTTTTGATGGTGGGTATAAAAATAATGTAAAGCCAAATCTTATAGTTCAAGTAGAGAGTAAAAATTTTCCGAAACAGATATTGAGATTTCATTGAAAACTATACTATTTACCTAATTAAAAGCATACAGTAAATATTCTTTAGATATTTTTATACCCTTCACCTTCGTGAGAAGGGTATATATAAATTTGTCATTCCGTTTGTAATTTCTATAATATAATTTTCCGACCCTATAAAGTATATATATTCTGGATCCTTATAGATAGCGGAGTCGATTAAGCCATGTCCGTCTGTCTGTCTGTTGAAATCAGTTTTTAGAGGACGCCAGATATCGGCGAGATCCGAATCTTCAATAATTTTGTTAGACATGCTTTCGAGAAGATCGCTATTTAAAATCAGCAAAATCGGTCCATAAATGACGGAGATATAAGCAAAAATCCGAGACAACCTCTGAAAATTTCATTAAAAAAGACAATTTTTTCATGCTTTGATTAATAAGCAACAACAACAACACTGCTTATTCATTGAGTATTTCGTTTCACATGTTTGGATGGCTGTGTGTTTCATTGCCTTGTGTATATTGTTTTTGTTTGTTGGTGTACAGTTTCGTATGTTTGATGTCTGTTGGTTTTACTGCCTTGTGTATTTTGTTTTTTGAGTGTTTGTTTCGTTTAGCGTTGTTGTTGTTCATTTTGTTTTGCTATTGCCATAATAATGATATATTCGGGAAAATTAAATAGGTACATATGAAGGGTATATAAGATTCGGCACAGCCGAATATAGCACTCTTGTTTAATTTATAGTAGGATTTATAATAATTCTGTGAAATATACAGAAATGCATACATATGTACATATATTCAAATTAATTTCATATAAAATAACTGAATTTAATAAACATTCGCACAACACTGTAAAACTGAAATAAAATACAAGTGATAAACCAACAACACGTGCAAAAATAACATGCATTCAGAAAGTATTTTACATAAATACTTAAAATTGTTATATGGTTGGTAAAATGAATAAAGTTAAAAAACAAACATAAATACATACATACATAAAAACCTATATGTTTATATGCAATATGATGGTATTCAAACATTGTTAAAAAAAACTTCATACATAAATATGTGTTTGTAGAAAGAGAAAAAATTGTAAGCCAGTAATTATGTGTAAGTTAATATGTATGCAACAATGACCATAAAGAGGAAGTTCTGAAAAAAAAACAACAAAATAAATGATATTATTTTAAATACATATTGCTGTTCTTTCAACGCAATTTAAAGAGAAATTTATATTTTTGTGTTTCAACACAATACGAATACATAGCATAAAACTTAATAAATAGTAAATGTTATTTTTTCAATGCCTGAATATATGCAATACATATTAAAATTAGTTTTATGAGAATTCGTTAGTTTTGTAATACATATTAAAGTAAAAATGTTCTTGTTAAATAAATATTTTTTTTGCATTACAATTAATCATTTATTTTTCTCGTTTATAGACCACTCAATCAAATGCTAGTCATGTTTTTTTACGCAACGTTTCCACAGCGATAACAGGCCGTTTTGCCTGTGAGGTATCGGCAGATGCTCCGTCATTCCATACGTCTGTTATGTCGGGAGAAATGGATGTAATTGGTAAGTATTACTTTCACTAGTATTATTTTTAGAACAAAATTTAAACAATAATTTATTTAAGATATTTTTGATGATAATTTTTCTTTACTTTTTTTCTTGTATTATTATTAGAACTTCCTACTCAACGACCAATAATAACTGGAATTCATTCACGCTATCGTTTGGGTGATGTTATAAATGGTAATTGCTCATCCGATTATTCAAAACCAGCAGCAAATTTAACATGGTGGATTAATGACATACAGGTAAAATAGTGTGTAAAGAATTTGTGTTGAAATGTTCTTTATTTGAATACATTTACTATTAGATAGAAAGTGTTATTTATTGAAATACCCAGTTGGAAATTGTGTCTTAACGACAATGTCACTACAGATTCATTATCTACAAGTCGTTAGTATTGTATGTGTACTCTTTTTGTAATAGCATCATCTTGGCAGCTAGTTGGTATGCCACTTTATAGACTTCATTAATGACTGATTGCTGAAACAACAGCTGACATTTGTATGATATTTGGTACATTTGTCATTACTGCGGACATACGTCGACTTTATTTTTTTGAAAATTTGTATATATATGAAAGTGTCAGGGGGTGCCAAAAAGTTTTTTGTATGGGAACACATGACGAATTCAGCACCGACTCTGACAAGTCATGAGGTATTTCCATAAAACGTCTTAATGAAATTTCCAACTGGGTAAGATAAAAAACTAATAAATAAATAAATTAGTTTCATATACCAATTTATTAGAAAAAAATAAGTTTTCATTTGAGAGCATCCACGAGTTTTAACTACTGAAAGTCGTACAATTTTGTTTTAAATCTTCACGATTAGATTTTGCTAAATCTTTACTGAATTTATGGTTTTTTCTTATAACCCCATATACCATGTTATGGGATTCCATAATTAGAATTCCATAGAAACTGATTTCAAATAAAGATTTAACAGACACATTGACATTAAAATTGAATTTTCAATCATTTATATGAGAAGCCATCGAACTACTCAGACTCACTTGTACTCACTTATATACATATACGTTGCAATACAAACAATGGAAAAAAATAATGGAGAAAAAATTGGTATTCATAAAAACGTTTACATAAAAGTTGCCACAAAAAAAACTTATGTGGAATAGCATTCATTAGCAATATTTTTTTTATTCAATTTCTTTAGTTGGCCAACATTTAATGTATCCATTCACATACATATTTAACTACACACACATATACACTTATTTAATATTTATGTATGGGTATAAGTATATTGCGTGTGATTGTAATTCTCTTACTTTTTTTTAAAAACATTCAATACTACGGACCTTAGAATATGTAATATTTTGAGTTGTATTCTTGGTCCATACTATTTTTTCTGTTACTTTTTTATTATTGAATAGTTCGGTTTATGCATTTGACAGTTGCTTGGTATGCCAATGTAACAAAAACAACAGCAACAATATAACCAAATATATGTGTATGTATGTGTGTACTTACGTACCACTTTAAGCCAATGCTCCCTCAGTCCGATTTGGATACATCTGTGTAAATGGCATCTCACAGCATAACACAGTATGTAAAAAATTTAAAGGAAATAACAAAAAGAGAAGAGAGAGAAAATAACATTGAAAAGAAATTCATTAGTTTGGTTTATATTTGATTTATGCTGCACTTAAAATGGAAATTGTGCAAAATATTGAAATGCATAATAGATGGTTATTGATATTTTTACCAGTTTTTTTTTATTTTTTGGTTGGCCATTACAAAATATAAGACATAAAAAGTTCTAAGGTTTCACTGCATGTATTACTCTCCCTTCTATAGTGTTTGGTTTGTATTTTTTTCGTTCTTTTTAACGAAAAAGTCATTTTAAATGATAGACGTTATGGCTACCAATTGAATATTATTGTATTTTTTTCCAACTATAAATACTCGTTCTCTTCAATGATATTTTGTATAGTTTAATACATATGCTTATTTTAGCAGAACACATTAGGAATGTTTTCGTCTTAATTGAATATATTTTTTTTATCAATAAAATTCAAATATACTTATAACTTATGTAGGGTGTCTTATATTCGGGCTTGACTGAAAAACAAACGGGTGGAGCAAATATCCTTAAAGTATTGTTATTATTATTGTTGTATGAAACATATTTTGTTTTGTTTTAAGTTGTTTCCCAAAATTGCTGATATTCAGTTACAAAATGTTCAATTTTTTAATAATCAACCTTGAAATTAAAATTCAATAGTTTAAATGTCTGTGTTTAATACAATACAACTGAAGAAAACGAAGAAAAAGTATCAAAAAGGAATTATTGTTGTAATAAATACACACACACAAACATACTTACTAGTCGAAGATTGTGAAAGTCATATAATTGAAAAAATTCGAATTTCCCGGACATTATGTATGCTGTTTGCTAAATGATATTTTATGACCTCAATATTTGCAAATATAATACGTTAATAAAATAAAAAACTAAAATCTATAAACGAACAATTTGAGCAAGAATGGAATGGAACTATGACAAGAAATAATATAATATGGTTATATGTCTGTATATTGCTTAATAAAAAGTGAACCAATTATTTGAAGTAGTATAAATATTGAATAATTTATTCTCAATTGTAATTCAAATAAATGATTTCAAGCATAATTTTCTCCTATTGTGTTCAAATTTCTTTGCTGGTTATAATTCTGAAATTAATAATGAATTATTGGATACAAAATCGCTTAATTATAACAAGAGTAACAGAGAAAGGTATAAATAATTTGCGATTAGGAAAATGTATGTAGATTAGGGTGATTCCGTTTGCAGAAAAAGATGTTAAAAAGGTGTTAAAGTTTCCAAGATAATTGTAAACTTGATTTGAAATTATATTTCATCACATTTTATTTTTCATCAAAGAATATTTATCACCAAAAAATTTAAATTTCGTCGGAAAATTTATTAAAAAAAGCTTTTTAATGAAAAAAAAATTTTTTTGGCAAAATTCTGATTTTTCACGAAAAATTTTAACTTAGAGCCTGTTCTTTTAATGGAAATGATTTTTTCTTTCTGTTTTGAAAACAACAAATAAAGTCAGTTATTTTTATTATTTTCTATATAAATAAGAATAAGAAAGAAAACTTTCTTATTTAGAGGAACAGACAGTAAATTATATTTTTAATATTTTTTTTCATTTCAGGTTCCTCCAAATTATTTGCGTACGTATGAAATACAAAAACATGTCGAAGAACAGTTAGAAACTTCAGTATTAGAAATTAATTTTATAGTAACACTACAACATTTTATAAAAGGTAGATTAAAGGTAAGATGTGAGAAAAGAAGCTTCATAAAAAAAAAAACATTTAATAAATATATGTTTATTTCAGCTCAAATGTTCTGCACGAATACATCGAATTTATCATGCTGAAACTGAAAAATACATAGAAGAGGACAGACCACGAATTTTGGCTTCCGGCCGATCTCCAGAAACATTTCCTTACGATCACAATGATGAGTTTGACGATGAAAATGGATTATACTTGACGCATTATAAAAGTAAGTAAAAAGTTTTTCAAATAGCTTAAAATTACTAAAATATTTGTATTGAAAATTTAATTTCCTAATACATACTAAATTTTTTTTATATATTGCACGTTAATAATTACATTGTTAAAATTAAAATACGTAATTCTATTACTGTTATCATTATTTTAAATTATTTCAGATTATCAATCTTCTGCCCAATCGACTTTAATAAATCTTAATAGTATTACAAGATTTATGTATATGATACTACCAATGATAAGTAGCTTATTTTTTATAATATTTAACAAAAATATATTGAATCCTTTGAGACTTGTACTACGACAACAACAACAAAGAGAACATCAGCCACAGCAACAATATACAACGAGTATTTTACAAAACCATAAAACAAAACCTCGACAACAGAGACAAAATCAGAATCCGATTCAAAATGAGAATAAGAAACATAAGCAGCAGCAACAACAGAAAGAACAAAAGCACCGGTATTGCCACATCAATTGCCTCAACCATAATAATTACAAAAAGGATGATGATGACGATAAGAACAATGATAATGATTACAATAATAATAATAATGATGATGGTGGTGGTAAAATAAAAACAAAAACATTAAGAAAATTACCGTGTAGAAGGAATAAAAAAGAAATCCAAAATTCACACTCCTATAAATGCCAAAGACATGTTTTAATTGCTGCGAACACAAATACGGATTCGGCTACAAATGGAATTAATACCAACGATATGAGGCACGTATTACGGTGATAAGTTAATTTACACAATTATTACAAATAATATTATTAAATAAATGTGTAATAAGTAAATAAAATAAAACGAGCGACAACGACAGCTACAGCGACAGCAAGTGCTATTCTCAGAGAAATCTAGATGAAGTGACACAACCAACATATACACACAAAGTATAATGAACAAAAATCATTAAACATCCAAATACTGTTTGTGATTGCAATTTGTATATGTGTGTATAGTATAAGAAGGACGAAAGTAAAACTATTTAATACACCAACATACACATACTCCTACTCTGGAGTTAAGTAAATAAGCTGAGCTACAATTTGAATAAGTCGTTTTTTTCCAAATGTATGTATATGAATGTATGTATGTGTTTTTTATATTGTTTTTATTGTAACTGTACGTATATTTAATATTCGTAAATACTTCTACATAAAGCCAAAATAAAACAAAAAAGTAATAAACAAAAACTACAAGCATTTAATAAATTATAATAAATTAACGAATTAATTAATTAACTACGAGTAAGAAGAGATGAATATGAAAATAAGAGAGAAAAGAAAATAAAATGGAATTAATTATTAATAATACATATTTGTGCAATATGAGTATTTATTTAATTACAAAAGATTAAGAAATAAATAACAGAAGGAATTTCAATTGAAATATATAAAAGACTATTTACAGTATATAGTTGTACTTGTAAATCTATGGAGGTAAATGGTATGATGTGTAATTTGAAACATACTTTAAGGCAATTCACTGGAATAACCGCTAAAACTTTTTAATTAATTTGTATAGTAAAAATATTATTAAAAATGTATGTACATATGTGCGTGCTGCAGGGTACAATTAAGAAAAGAGTGAGTACGTATTGTAATCAATCAATTCGATTTGCAATATTATTTTAAATTGTAATTGCAATTTAAGTATGAAATTGTTGAACTCGTTTTGATGTTATACACAGCCATTTATAAATAACTCCATTATCACTTTGTGTTGTGTTTTTGTAAATATCTATAAAATTTAAGTTAATAATATGTTTAAGTATTAATAAGCTACAAGCTGTTTGAATAATTTAAAAAATCCCTCCCTCCCATTCTACAGTTAGGGATGGAAAAATTGCTCATTAAAATGCATTTAACATATTTTTTACAATTAAGTTACAATTTGTGAAAACATTGTAAATCATATACAAAAGTCATTAAATTATAATAAATATTATGATTGATAGTCAAAAGAAGAGAAAGTTTTTCATTTACTGTTAAAAAATATATATATTTAAAGGTAAGAATAAGTACACTTGTATGAAGTTACAGTAAATATGCTGTTAAAACAAAATAGATTTTAAATTTTACTTATTTATTACATAAATCTTATTAGACTAGATAGCGCTTTGCTTTTATAAGATTTTTCACAGTTCAGCCATTGATAGCACTGTATGGCAATATTATAAAAAGTTAATATACTCTCCACTTAAAGCAGTTCATAATTTTTAATATACCTCGAAAATCAAGAGTTATACCAGAAAAAGGGGTTAATTTTACAAAAATTTGTTGTTTACAAAAAATGTTGACTTCTAACTAGGTTGAATTTTACCAAATCTTATCACTTTAGTAATATAAGTGCTGTCCTATTCAAAAGTGTGTGCATGCCAAATGAATTAAACCCTTAAACGCATTGTATGCTAAGGGTTCTACACATTTTATAGAAATAACAAACTTAAATCAGATTATCATACATAAACTACTTAAACTTTTGCAATCAAAATACACCCATAAAGTACATCCAAACACTCCCACAAATTCATGAATTCACGAAAATCGGTCAACCAGTCAACTTAAAATACATAAAACTTTACTAATACAAATAAAACAAATTAGTTTTATACAAAGAATAGAAAAATATATTTAAGGATTAGTGTAAATGAAAACATTGACTACTGATGTTGTTGAGCTAAAACCACTAGACAGTCTTTTCATTGTGGCTAAAGAAAAAAAAAAAACTACTGAAAACTAACAAAACACCTATAAAAACAAAGAGGAAATTTTCGTCGGGGATGGTCGACCATATGATACCCTACACCAGCTATGTGCATTTTTTTTTATAAAAAAAATATGTTGAATTTTACATTAATTTTGATGTAGGTATTGAAACAATTTATTGATGTGGAAGTCAGGGTCAAATATGAGCCGCTCCTCATAAAGTTTGCAGGAGGGACTGTTTACATAAAAGTTAATTATGCTGAATTTCGGGTAGGGTATAATAAAGGAAATAACATTGAAATAGAAAACTGTAACGACTTAAAGTTAACTGGAAGGGCAAAATAATTTATAGTTGAGAAATTATGTCTTATATATATAGTAACGTTGTTTATAGTCTGTTAGTTATAACAGCATTCTAAAACCAAAAACTTTTCTACTTATTGGCGTTCTTTTCATTTAAGAAGATAAAACTTGAAAATTCAAAATTTGATTAAAATGTATGCAATTATAAATTCTTGTTTTAAAATTATTGAATTTGAAGCTGATTTCTATCAAAATATCCTATTTTTGAAAATGGAAAGTTATCAAAGTATCGAATTTTTAAATATATGTATGTAGATTTTTTCTTGTCGAAAATGCTTAAATACAGTTTTAAATTAAGCACTTATGTTTTTATTTTTATCTATTACTAAGTATGTATTTCTTGTACAGACTGTCTTTCTTTTTCGGTATAATAAAACTGATTCTCACCAACTTTTCATTCAGTTGAAATGTTATGTCCAAACAACTTGGTCGTGGCAAAAGCAGACACACATCACAACTAAATGTTTTAGCAAACTGAAAATGCCAAAAAAGGAAAAACATGAATGGAACTGAAAGTTAAATTTTTAAATTGCACAAACAAACTTAGTACTAATTTACACTCGAAACTTTTATTGAAACAAATTTTCAGTGGTTTGTTTCATGTTTCATGTTTTCTGTTTTATTTATTTGGGAACATGCATGCAAAGTTTTTTCTATATAACAGTTGATTTGTTGGTAATAAACCCATACGAATGGATGGATGAATAGATGATTGCGGTGCCAGATGGTAGAACGAATATGTGGACTATTGATTGTTCATAAAGTTTTTACAATCTGGTTTTTAACAATATTTTAAAGGACTTGAATGTCATTAATTTAGTACATTTGTTAAATTCTTCTTCTGCATCTTTATGAAATAAAATTGATTTGATTGGTAGTAATATATTGTTGTATGATTAGAGTTTGAAGAATTTTAAAAATAAAGTTTTTATGCCAGTATTTAGCACTGAGCCCTTAAATTGAATTTAGTGAAAAACAATATTTTTTAAATTTAAAGTTAACAGAGTCATAAATTAAGGATTCAACTTCAGGTGTTTAAGTCTATACATTTGAACCAATTTAACTATGTCCTTCAATCTGTCCGTTCATGCAAACTTTGTAATTTGCAAGGTTAAAGATAACTTGATGAAATACGTCTCTTTCGGACCAATAACGAAACCTAACCCCATATAAAATACATCATAATTTACCCTTAAGACCCGGAACTCTAATATCAAGGTTATTTATTATGATTTGTTTTGTGTTTAATATTTTCAAGCTTTAAACAAGTAAGTGTTCAATATTCGCCTTTATCAAATCTTATATACCGTTCACCATAGTGTGTTTAAAATAAGTTTAATTTTATAACATTTTAATTTATTTTATATTTTTTCAACTCTACTCGTTACTTCAAAGCATGTACTAACATTCTCTTTTTTATTGAAATTTTCAGAGGTTGTCTCGGAATTTTTCTCATATCTCCGTAATTTATGAACGGATTTTGCTGGCTTTAGAAGATATCTGGGGACTTCAGAAAATTGCGGACGGACGGTCAGACACACAGAAAGACAGACCTTTATATATTAAAATTTGTCAAATTAAATACGTAGGTAAATCCCAAAAGAAACAAGTAAGAAATTGTAGTCGGGCGAGGCCGACCATATAATACCCTACACCTGTTACAAAAATAAAATGTGATTTAGTTTTCATAATAAAGCATTGAAATTGAATTGTACCTTGCCATTTATTGTTGAATAAAATTGTGGACATTTAAGTCAAATTTTGAAGGGGGCTTTGTATAGGTGCTATGGTCAAATAAGACCCTATAATTATAAAATTCATGAGAGTCATCAAGGCTAGTATAGCACTTGGTTTTGCAGCTTTTTGTCGAGATACGAGTATATTAAACATAATTATGAACTTAAAAGCCATATCAGTTGTATGGGTGCTACGTGAAATAATGGACCGATGTTAACCATTTTCAATAGGCTTCGTCTCCGGTACCTTAGAAGGTCATGTGCCAAATTGAATTATCATTGAATTATCTTCAAATTCATGGACGGACGGACAGACGGACGGACGGACAAGCCCTATTCGGAGGTTCAGTTGTATGGGGGCTAGGTGAAATAATGGACCGATCTTAACCATTTTCAATAGGCTTCGTCCCTGTGACAATAGAAGGTTATTTACCAAATTTCATTGAATTATCTTCAAAATTTCGACCTGTAGTTTGATTACAAGGTTTACATGGACGGACGGACGGATATAGCTAAATCGACTCAGAAAATGATTCTAAGCCGATTAGTATACTTTAAGGTGGGTATAGGGCCAATATTATTGTGCATTACAAACATCAGCACAACCCCCACTGAAGTAGTGTAGGGTATAAAAACTACCGAAAATGCTATATTTCTTGATTACTTGACCAACAACTGGAAAAGTTCTTTTCTTATATTCTTTGAATGTAAAACAATGTTATAATTCTTCTAAATACTTATTTTCCAAAATATTCAATTACATTTAATTTTAATGCTTATGTATGTGAAACAAAAACAGTTATCTGCCCTTTAACAACAATTATAACTAACAAAAATATAATTAAAAACTCTTTGCAGTTGTGTTGAAATACAAAACACAAAAAAACTTGCTAAAAACGAGAAAAACTTGGAATTAACATGGTTGTGTAAACAAATAACGCCGAATAAGAGAATAGAATGAAAAGGGAATAATTAAGTAATTTAAGTTTTACAATTGTTATGCAAAAAAGTTTGAAAAATATTTATTTACCAAATGCACTGAGTAAAAATTCACATAAACACCATTTCACACACAAACACAAAATTTGTTAAATTTTTATAACAACAAAAACATTAAATTGTTAATGTACATACATATAAACCAAATATTATATACACACACATACACCTACATATGTATGTAGATATATAAAACAAAACCAAAACAATCTGCGGTTATTTCTTTTGTTTTTTGTTTTTTAACAAAATTTTTAACACTTAAATGAATGCAAGTGAAGTGAAGTTTGGTTTCTGCTGCTGTTGTTATTTTTCTTTTATATTAAAATTAACAACAACTCCAACAACCACATAAAATATACCACAATAATAAGTATTTATTGTACAAAAAATATAAACTCACAAAGATACACACCGTATGCATATAAACAAACAAACAATCAAAACTAAGAAAGAAGTAGGTAAAGTGTTCTATGGGCAAGAGTACTGGTTCTCGTTAGCAAAATATTTACAAATATTAAAATATAAAATAAAAATATTTGCATAAACTATTGTTTATAGTTGCACGGATAGGTGATTATAGGGAATAAAAAGAATGTAAATAGAAAAATATTTTCTAGGGAAAAGGCCAAACAGGCTGAGTTTTAATTGAATTTTAATGAATACTAGACCAAAAAGTTATAAAAACATTTCATTATATTTATTTTTTTTGGAGTTGGAAATGTTAAAGTTTTTTGCAAAGGTAATGGAATGATTAAGTGATTAATATTTGCATAACTTATAGAAAAAGGTTGAAATGTTATTCTGGCTAGTTTAATAATTTTAAAACTAAATGTAAGGTCAATAACTTAATCAAGAATAAAAAAGATTTGAAATGTATTTTCATGTCCACTTAATTATGTGTAAAAAACAAGTAGGAAAGTATAGTCGGGCGTGACCGACCATATGATACCCTACACCAGTTATGAATATTAAATGTGATTTATTTTTCATAATAAAGCATTTATCTTCAATATTACCTTGTTCCGATACATTTAAGCAATTTATGGATGAAAAAACTAATTTTCTGAAAAAGGCTTTGTATGGGGGCAATTGAGGCCCGATCATTATGAAATTTGGCAAGGTCATCAAGACTTGTA